TAATTGCAGTTCTACGTTTCTAGGGCCCCCAACCAATTGGTGTTTCTCTATAATCACAATGAATAACATTGTGCGACTGTCTGAGTTAACTAGAGTATGCAAGTCTCTAAAACTCTATGAAAGTCTGTAATTCTAAGGGGTAACTTTACAACACTGAGCAACTACGATCGAAACCACTTCTACAATTGGTGTTTTACGTACAATATACTACCCTGTTCAAAAAGTTCCGGGACAGTCTCGTTTACAAAAAACAGTAGAATGCTATGTCACTTTTTTTGATTCTATGTACTTACTACAACTGTGTAGAACATATTTGCATTGCCAACTTCATATCAGTCGAATAGTGTATAAACAGCAGTGGAGTTTGTCAACTGAGGTTACAACGAGCGGTGATTTTCATAATGTCAATTAAAACAACCATTACTTGGACGTTGATTTCAATCGATTAAGACGATAAAACAAAATTTGCTGAAAGAATTAAATTCCATCACAGAAATGACATTTTTGGGATGTTCTGAAGAGTGGAAAAAACGTTGGTAAAAATGTATTGCGAGCAATGGGGATTACTTTGAAGGTGACAAAAAATAAATTGATAAATAAATGAATAGTACGCGTATTATTTAACGTGTCTCGGAACTTTTTGAACAGGGTAGTATACACACTACTACCCACATTCATTCTCTGCACTCAAGCAACCCGATCACAATCAAACGGAAATGCGTTCTCATATGCCTGAGTTAGGTGAACAGCTCACTTGGCGTCCCGTTCATAGACCACTTATACGATTATTCCTGGGCAGGTATACGTGCGCGTACGACGCATATTGACACACACCCGGTGGTACCCGCATTCGAAGCAAAGCCGTTAATGTATACATGATGAATAAAAGATACGCCCCCCACCGGCCCCCCATCCATTCAATATCGATTCGGCGGCCGCAGCCAAGTTTCTAACGATTGTTTAACGTCGCAATATGTGTGTGTGTGTGTGTGTGTGTGTGTGTGTATGCATCGTGACTGCGCATTTTTTCCCAACAAAATTGTCGACTCTCTCACGGTTCGTTGTATAACCAAAGTAATTTCAAGCTGTCAAATTGGGTAATATTTACAATAGGTAAGCCATCTCCAAATTTGATAATTTTTCGATATATTGTCAAGGTTATCGTCCTGAACAGTGTTGTGAAGTTTAGTTGGGATTCGCCGTTTGTAAACAAGTTATTACCAAAAAAAGTTTAGGTAGATAATTATTTAAAAGTTTAGCCTTTTCACCGATTTCGATGCACTGAAGTCAAAAACATAATACTTTCTTTTCAAAATTACTAACAAAAACAAAGTATCATCCCCCAAAATAATAGACGAGCTCCTCAGACTACTTCAACAAGTAGAAACTCGTATATTGTTTAAGGGGGGGGGGCTGTTATTATAAAAACAAAAGTGATTCGGAGTTGGTTAGAGACAGTTCAAGGAAGAAAAACTCATTCAGATTTGGTTAGAGACAGTTCAAGGTAGAAAGTCATTCAGAGTTGGTTGGACACAGTTGAAGGAAAAGGTATCATTTTTCCCTTAATAACTTTTTAATAAACAACATTTGATAACTAAATCTTTCTGAAGGTCACTCACGAGTGTGACCTTGACAACATATTGACAACATATATCATCGATCATTTTACTATTAATAATACTAAAGTACAATACTAATTTTTGTTTTATAGTAACTGTTTTACCAACGGTAACCCCCAACTAAAACCTTCACACTACTACTCAGAGTGATAACCTTAACAACATATTAAAAAATCATACAAATCGTGGCTCCCTTAGTGTAAATATTCAGCCTCAATTCTTTCCTTGGCAAAAGAATAAATTGGAAACAGCCAACCAAAAGCAATGAGACACTTTCTCAGAACCACATCTCAGGAGAGCGAAGAAACACAGAATTTCCCCTGCCAAAATGCTTACCTTTAAAGTGAAGGGGGTCAACTTCGGCAAGCAGAGCTAGGCGAAAACTATGTGTTCCGTGGACCTAAGGAAGATTAATCGCGACGCACAGTGGTCCAGAACAAAGAATTAACTGTTTTAACGTTATTTCAAGACTTAAGGACAATAATATATAGGTCGTTGAATTCGTCTTGACGACAGCTATAATATTATTAAGTAAAAAATATATAGTAACCGTAAAAAAATCTAGGTGACCATATTTTTTATTTAAACAAAAACAATTTTTTTATTTGTTACATTGGAATTTATAGAAAAAAACGTGCTGATTAATCTTTGTTGGAAACATTTTTATGTCAGAGCTTCGAAAGTGCCTGAAAAATCGTAATAACGTGTGAATTGAAATTCAAAAATACGACAAAATATTTCTTTGATAATTTACAACACAAAAGGTGTCCATCGCTGGCGGCGAAAATCGGCGAAACGGAATAACTGTTCGAGGCACGTGATATCACGTGGTCGCGAGACACGTCGCATTTAGACTCGGTAACACGAGATCGCGCGGGACCACTGTAAATGTAATTCACGAGACGTTATAAATTACGAATAACGGGGAGAGGAAGGTAGCTCGGAGCGACGGACGGATAAATAACGTGGAGATTGTTAGTACTTCAGCGGAACGGTAACTTATATACACGTGTATTCAGTTTTACGGCCGAGTGGAATTCTATAAAAAGCGAATTTCCCGGGAGAAACGGAAAAACCGCGGCGCCTCTGGCCATGGTTGTGTCGTTTGCAGCATTATTGTATATTATGGGAACCACGATAAGGGGATCGTTGAAGAAAAAGTAATAATAAAAATTTCGACTCCTAAATGGAACGGACGGTTTCAGCCCGAAATCTTCGGCATCGCGTGTTCCTTTATCAATGCTCCTTCGTGGCCAGCTGTTGTGTGTTTTTTTCCCCCTAATTTTTTTACACAGACCGTTCGGAATTTTCAAGAGGGAATTTTTTGTTACGAGTTCGTATCCCGTTTCACATACGATTCTTTTTTTCATTGCTTGTTCCAGTCTCCCGCGTGCGAATCGAATGGAATTTTTTCTTCTCCCCGCGACGAAGCGTCCAATGGCGAGAAATGTTCGCGTTTAATTTTTTTCCCCCTCTTGAAAGGTGAATGGATAGGAGAAACGTCTGTACATACAGTGGGTAAAAAAACGTATTCGTACACCCTTTAAAACAGAACAACTCTTTCAAAATTGGACCAACTGACTTTAGTTTCTTTGTGAACTTAGAAGGATTAGTGTACTAAATGATGTGTTAACGAAATGTTGGAAAAGTTGCAATTGGTCGGAATCGCGAAGAAAATAGTAAAGGGCCCTTTTTGCGACCTTTTTTATCCGAGATTGTAATGAAAATTTAACAAACACATTGCTTAGATTTATGTTAGTTATATATGTATGCTGAAAATTTCATCGAAATCGGTTAACATTGTTATGAGATACAAACAGTTAACAATGTTGAAAACCACAGTTTTTCGCGACTTTTGGGTATGGGTAAAATGATTCCTGGGATCATTTTATCCTACTAGAGAGGGATCTCATATGACCCCAAATACCGAACTCACATTCAGTCATTGAATATAACATCAACTTATTACATGGGGTAACGAAACATTAATTAACTTATTATTGGTTAAATCCGCGCAAGAAGCAGCTGTCACGTTAATCCGTTTATGACAAAAGTTACACAAGATTGAAGAAGACCTTATCTTAGGTAAATTGCAGTAATGTTATATTTTCCTTGTGGACAACACACAGAGCACTGATATTTACATGGCACTTCGAGCAACGATTAGTGACATGCGGGGAGAACTATTGTAGAACGACATTACGATATAGCACCACTAATAACCACAGGGCAGCCAGGAATCATTTTACCCCGAGGGAACGTTTTAGACACCTTTCTCCTACGTCGCTTTCGGAATAGTTCACTCTATATATTTTCTTTTCTGGCTTTTTCCCCAATAATTTCGAGGTCTTCTGAAATTATACCAAGAGACGAAATACAAAGGATTAAATACGAGAAACAGTGGTTAACAAGGAGGAATAGGTCATTTGTAAAAGCGTCTAAAATGGATTTATTGTCAGGGTTGGACGTCAAATTTACAACCGAGATACAGTTTCCTGCGAGGCAGGTAGAAGTATAGCAGGGGTCGTACAAATAACTCAGGTGATACTGCGACAATTTGGCAGTTTCTGCAATAACTGCGGAAAATTCTGGTTACCCTAGGTAGGATACAATGAGGAACACCCTGCTGTACCACCTCCAAAGGGAGGTCAGAGCGAAATGGAGGGGAGGATGGGCCAGTGTTGTCTAGACTTACAGGATTTTACGGTAGAGTTAGTTCACCTTTGACAAGGTACAGATCTAGTGCAGTCTCGTCACAGTCCATAGTTAATTCAGTTAGAAATTACAAGCTCAGGAACAAAGTGCAATGGCGTCATTCAGTGTACCGTATTCAGATTTACATATCTGGACCCCAGAGCCAAAGTATATTAAGTCTACTTTTTTAAAATGTGACATTTTAAGCATCAATTTTTTCACCTTTTCCGATGGTAAATACTATTTCCTTCTAAGTCGTTTAGTTTTGTTATACAATAATGTGAAAATGATACTAAGTCCGTATCTTGTATCGAACCAAACACTGTAACATCCATCACATAGAGGACATAATGCAATGTTCACCATTTCTAAATTTCGAGACTTTTCTTAGGTCCATTCAGAGTAACAAGATTTTTGCACCTTAGATAGACCTCTAAAGTTTGAAAAGTGTGGCTTAATTCACTCTAGTTCTGGGGTCCAGATATAGTTAATTACAATAAATACAGTGGTTCAGTTTATTCAGTGATCTATTCACTTTCTTGCGCAATATCATCTGGCATAGACACAGAGTTTACGAGTCTAGAAATACTTATGGGAAGGTAAATTATGCTTCACCTGACCCAACGTATATTCGACCGTTTATGGAGTTTGAATTATTTAACGAAAGTACATATTTTTCTGTTGCAGTGCGTATTGTACCTGTGGGCGCTGAAACTGTGCCATCCAACCACACTCTTCCTCCTAAGAGGTAACCACGAGTGCCGTCATCTCACGGAATATTTCACATTTAAGCAAGAATGTAAGTATTGCATCGCGAACGGTACTATGTACCCTGCGAATCGTATCCAGAATAAGTCACGGAAATCGGTTCCTTTATTCGAAAAATCGATCCGCAACGGTCTGTGATTGCATGCTCGGTCCAATCTTTTTCGCGAATTCGAAACCCCCGGTCAACAGCAGCTCGGAGCCATTTTAACGAAATTTCCTCGAATCTCTCCGCCAGTTTTCGTTGTTTACAATTTTTTGAAGCAAACAACATGAACTCTCCCGCCATCGAATCTCGAGGGCTGTGTATGGTTTTCGACCGCTGTTATTCCACTCCATCCCGAGACCGAAATTTCGAGAAAATTCTACACCAATATTTTCCTGACTTTCAGCTGGGATGAAAAACAGTCCCGTGTACACGGAACTCCAGTCGAAATTTCGAAATTTTTACCTTGTTCCCAGCGCGCTTCGAATCCCAACTTTCTTTTGCACGGTCTTTCGGTTCTCGTATTTCCTTGATTATAATGCAAATTGGTTTTTATCTTTTTCTTTTTACATGCCGTTACGATAAAAGGTGGACTCCCATTAGCAAAGAAACGGCTCTTCCTTTATTGTATTATCTTCTTCTTTTAACCCCCCGGGGGACAGATCGTATTTTCCTTTCCTGCCGTTCGGTTCATTACAGTTTCCATTCGCAGGCAAATTGTCTTTCCGTTATTTCGTTTTCACAAAGCTCCTTTCACAGATTGTTTTTTTTTTTTGCTTTTGCGCCACGTTTTAACGCGACTTTGATGCTATAACACGCGGCTGCGACTTCTATTTCGCAAGACAATTATGTGGGTCAGAGTGTGTTAGAGCCAATGGATATTTTTATATTCGAACGTGTAACTTATGGTTTTATTTAATTCCATCCCCTTTCTCTAATCACGAAGCTGCTATTCGTGCAAAATGATAGAATGTAGCATCGATCGATATATTTTTTCGAAGATACAATCCGTCGTACCTAAAATTAGGATAACTGTGACTAAGTTGGAGATAACTCAGAAAATAATCAGTTTCGATTTTGCAGTTCTTTTGCAGGTACTTTTTTTTCGTGAAATACCTTTGCACGTGAAACTCAACTTAACCCTTATCCAGTCAAAATGTCTCCAATGGACTCACACTAATATACTTATCTTATACGTGCATTTAACTCATTTAATCCTTATTGTACACCTGAAAAAATAAGTTATGTAAAAGTTGCAAATATTCTTACAAATTTATCCTAGAAACAAAGTATACCCTTCATTAAAAGTATATAATATATGTAGATACTCATATATTCCTATGGTCTCCGACCGCCCAGATAAGGGCTAATTTAACCCCAGATTACAATACTTCACTGTGAATGACGTTATCACGAAACTTTCGTAAAATTCACTACTCAAAGAAAACCCTGTGTAACTTCGAGAAATGATAATCTTATCGACCATTTGGTACAGATCTGTGGAACAATTACACTTTGGAGGAACTACGGTTTAAAAAAGTAATTTAAATGTTAAGATTATACGCACGACATATATCTATCTAAGAATTGTGTATTTTGAGGTAGTTAATTTTTACGACACTTTCGTAATGTAGGGTTAACAATATTCAGAGCTGCAAAATCGAAGGTGATCATTTTTCAACTTTAAACAAAATTAGTCTCAGCAAAAATCAAAGTAATTTAACAACCTGCAGAGCTGCAAATTCTAAAATAATCATTTTCTGACTTGGAACAAAGTTACCCCGATGGAGCAAAAATTAACGTAATTTAACGACTTGCAGAGCTGCAAAATTGAAAATGATCAATTTTCTGACTTGGAACAAAGTTATCTTGACTATATAATTTAGAATAAAGTTACCCCTACTAACGATAAGTCAAACATACCCCAATTTACGGTATTCTATTATATTCGAACATTTTCTCGAAAGCATACTCCACAAACAGCATACAGAATACATTGTGAATTAGCGTCCACGTTTCTGAACGGAAACATGAATTTCCCACGCGAATTCTCCCCACCCCCCGATCAGCGAAGAAACTCGACGAATCTCTTTCCCCCGTTGCCCTAATGGACGCACGGCTGCGAGCGTAATGCACATTAGCCGGAGACGAAACAATTTGTTGAACGCATAATAACAGAGCGTAAATTCAGTGGTCGGTGGGTGTGGGAGGGGGGAGGGGGGTGTCTACCCTCGTTAAACAATATTCGCTACAAGCGGCCGTAATTAGCGACAGGGCCCCGTGTGGGTTCCTCGTCTCTCGATTCGCAGCATGGAATAATTTCCATAATTTATTCTTTCGCTCCGAAATTTATTTGTTTATTTATGCGCCAACCGCACCTAAATCATGTTTATCATTTTTTTTTTTTAACGGAATTTCAATTTACCTTGGAGGCCTAGAAACATTAACCGAGAACACACTTTATGGAGAGGTACTTTTTAATATCTACTATTAAGTGCACACCGCTTGATACGAACGACGAAAGCGAGTGTTCGTGGCCGGGAAATTGCGTCGAGTAATGGGAAATTGTTACGAATAATTGATAACTGGCTGTAGACTTTTTATGACCATTGAATATTGGTGTGGTACGATTAACCCTTTAACTATATAAGTACAGTAGCAGACAAAAAAGGTACCACTTTTAATTTTTTTTTTTTTTATTGTTTTATAACATCAGCTTAGAGCCTTAATTTACTGGGTTTGTACAGCTTTTAATTCTCTATTGGAATATCTATTGTAAACGTGTAATGAAGTTTCAAGTTGACGTTAAAATATAATGAAAATAAAACAAATCGAAGAAGTGGAAAGTTTTTTGTCTACTACTTGTATACAGGGCAGAGTTTGACAAAATATAATCTAATTACGAAATGCAAATCACAATTACAATGTAATTGCAATGTAACTGCAAGAGAATTACGATTACATTGTAATTAATTATACCAAATTTACAATAAAAATTACAATATAATTGTAATTGTTCCGCAATTATAGTGCAATTACATTGTACTTGGATTTCAATTTTTTTAATTAGATTACATTTTGTGACGTGGGACAGATCAAATCATAGCATTCTGAATACGTTCAATATACTGGAAATCTCATCACTATAAATCGAGCTAGAATATCTAAGAATTTCAAATAAACATTAAGTTCCACTGAATATGTAAACCAAATCTATACAGGGCTAAGTCTGCATATCCAATCGATGGTTATAAAACACCCACTTTATGAAAATTACAATAAAATTTCAATTTCCACTGTTTTTGCCTTAATTATTCCGTTATTAAGCATCAGGAAGTCATTGTTACATATATGAATACGCAAGGAAGGAATATACAAATCCACATACAGTTGTTTCATAATACAAGAAAGAAATCCAAGAATAATTATTCAAGAGACTATAAAATACCCACGTCATGTACCCTAGAGTTAACACTAGAACTATCGAACCCGTCACACTGACGCAACTATCGCAGATTTTTCATTTTACAATTATTGAAATCTTAGAGATACTTTCATCAGAATTTATGTTAACCTCGAATTTCTTATACACTTTTTCTTATAATATACTAAGCCATATTGCATTACAGTAAATCCTCGATGAGTGTTCGAAGGCTCCTCAACACTGAACATGAAATATTTCATAAACTAATGGCCATATGCGGCTGAAACAAGCATCATTAGCCTCAGAATTCCAAGCTCTATCATGCTGAACCTCATTAAAAAGTCAGCGTTGCACTTAGGGACCACTCCTTGCCGAGGACCCTTCGAACACTCATCGAGGATTTAGTGTACATATTAGACGTATTAATATATTACACAATATAACTTAGCGTACATTCAATGTTAGTAATTCTGGTGTTAAAGAATTCATTTCCTCAAGAAACAGGTTATCGTAGATTCTCGAGAAATAATATTGTTTACCATTAAAATAAGGTCAGCGCACTGCGGGGAAGCTAGATGGGAATAGGGATGTTGCGCTGGATCTCCTCCGGGGACGGTGGTCGGCAGGCAGAGTCGGGAACTACGACGACGGTTAAAATCATAAACGTAACCGGCGGGTAGCGGGTTAACGGCGAGCCTCGTAAATACACGCGGCTTGACCCAGTATCGGAGAATTTTCCAGGATCGATACGGTTTTCCGCGGGCCGCTGCTGCCTCTCGACTCTGCGCGCCACGCAGACCTTCTCGAGATATCGCTGATTCCGCGCGCGCGTACCCTCTGGGATCCCGTACCCGGATGGAATTTGTGTTTGATCGAGCGACGACCCGTTTCGAAATCCGTGTTTCAACTCGCCGAGATTTCTTGTCGAGTCGATATCAAGTAAACTCTCGGTACCCTGGAACACGGCAGATTTGGGCATTTTTGAAATGATACAACCTATTTCTTTATTTTAATATTTAATATTTATTTATTTCCATGGGACAAAGCCCGTTAATTTACAAAAATATTACGTTATACAGAGTGTTCCACCTAACTCCGCCACCCTTAATTATTCTCGTATTTGTCACGGTACAAAAAAATGGTTCGGGAGAAAGTTAGTGTATTTGAGGGGGGAAATTAGGCTGTGAGATTGAAGGTCATCTCAAGGTCATATCTTCTGAGATTTCTCTAATGGTAACGTTCTTTTAAATGCAATGCCCTATTTTTTTGTTTGCCATTACAAAGAGGAGATCAATACGTATCCAACAATTTAGCGCACTATGACCTTGAAATGAACTTGGGTTGAAAATTTCGCAAGTAACTGGTTGAGGTGGAAGCTCACGGAAAATTAATTGCAGAAACAAAATATACGCCATAATCGAATTACTTATTATTTTAGTGTATAGAAATTTTCAGCCCAAGGTGATTTAGAGATCACAGTGTGTCTATAAGCTATAACTCGACAAAGTCATAGTCTAACTGGTCGGGCAGGAATATTGAAGTTTATTAGTGCCGTGATGTTTGCATTATTTGTTTGTCCGTTAATAATTTTGTGTAGAAAACACAGGTAGGTTATCCACTGAAA